AAATGTGAAGGCCACACCCTAAATCTAATCTTTGCGGCATGGCTGAATTTTATAGGGCCTTGTTGCTCAAAAGCTCTTTCAATCTTATTTCCTATTCTTTGAAGTATAGAGCAGTCAGTTTTTCCAATCCCTTGAGGCTCCAAGTTTTTGTACTCTCTCTATTCCTTTTCATTTATAGTTGCATACCTGCTTATTATTGCATGAGCTCATCTCATCTTTCTAATATCTTGCTAAATGTAGCCAGTAAACTTAACTTACTAACATTTCCTTTTCCAAACCCTTCTAGAGCTATGGGCTTTGTAGTCACCTTATTTGCCTTCTGAAATACTGCACGAACTTTTTTACCAAATGTCTTGCCATGGGTTTCCATTTTCCAGCTCCTAATAATAGTTTCCTTGTTGTCTACTGCCTGCCTAATTTTAGATTTGCATGATAGCACCCTATTCTGTAACAATTTCTGTATTAAGGTAATGCTAGCTATTGGGGCAAACATACCTCAAAAAGTCCCAGTAAAATTTGTTTCTTGCTCACCTAACAGTTCAGTATAAGTGTTCCTGGTCAGGGGTGGAGGAGCGAGGGAATAACCCTTTGCCATACAGTCACCTAGGGACCCAGGCTTCTAGAGGCTCTGTCATCTTCAACAAGTAACTTCAAAAGTTTCCCTTGACACCAAATTCCAACCAGCAGAGACCAGAAGAGAGGGAAGATCATGGGTGGGAAGTTTCTGTGAGCCAGGCCTGGAACTGGAGCCATTATTTCTGTTCACATTCCACCGGCCAATAGAATTTAAGTAAAAGTAGACTTTGCATCTTTCAGGAAGTGTTCTTGAAGGGAGGGAATATACCTTTCTTCCTTCCAGCTTCTTCCTGGCTGGAAGTGAGAAATGGTGCTGGAGCTCACGCAGCCATCTTAGACCACAAGGTGAAAAGCACATGTTAAAGATGATGGAAAAACAGAGCTGAGGTCCCTGATAATCATGGAGCTCTCCTACCAGCTTTGCACTGCTTACCTCCTGACTTTAATTAAGAGAGAAATAAGCTTCTGTCATATTTAAGCCACTGTTGTTTGAGTTTTCTTTTATTTGTAGCTTAACCTAACTTTAACTTATATAATTATTCTCTAATTGTTTGGTATGGTTACTTTTTCTTTTGCCCACTCCTTTTAGTTGAAGACCTTTAATACTTTCTTCTCATAGTAGAGGAGACTGTAAGAACTACCAAATCTCTGACACAAGTAGTCTTAGCTTATGTCTAGAACCTTCAGATCATTTCAAGAAACATTTATTGAATACCCACTAATGCCAGGTACTGGTTGAGCCCATCTTCTATGAACTGCATCTTCCAGGTTCCTTTGCCTTCTGGCTTTGGATCATGGGAGGTACCAGCAGGAGATCAGAAGGCAAGAAGTGAGAGAGGTCAGGATATTTATCCTCCCTCCTTTCAGCTCCCCACCAGACTGTGGGTCCCTTACCCTGCCCTCAGTAAAGAGTCCTTTCATTGAACTTTCCTCATTTAAACACTTTGAGTTTGATATCTGTTTCTTGTCTGGGCTTTAATTCATTCAAACCATGGATCAACAAGAGAGTATTAGACTCCGTTCCTCCAGCTGGAGATCTTAAAAAATGCAAATCAGGCCCCTTCACATTCCTCTGTGTTAAAACATCAATGGCTGCCTATTGTATCCCTGTCACCACACCCCACTGTAAGTTGCAGCCAGACTGAACGACTTTCAGTTCCTCCTGCAGCATGGTCTCTCTTCCTCTGAGCTTTTGCACATGCAGTACCTTTTTCCTGGAAACTGCTCCCTACCCCCCACTCTCATCATTCAGACATCAGTGCGAATGTCACTTACTCCAGGAACTCTTCCATAAACCTACTTATCCTAGTTAGAGGTTAGTATGTGCTCCCCAGGCAGCCTCTAATCACCATCACATACAGATAGAACTCAGTGTTACATTGTACTTCCACTGCGTGCATATTTATTTGTGTCCTCTGGTAGACTGTAAGATATAGAACAGGGACTGCAGCTCAGATCTCTAGGACCTATTAAGGTGCTTGGTACCTAATAGGCTCTGACTAAATCTTAGATAGTACCTAAATGTTATTGAAAAAGCTTGAGCCCTCCTCCTCTAGCTACTGTCCTCTCTTCTCATTCACTGGCAAAAATCATAAAAAATAATTTTTAGTCACCCACTCCTCATTACTACCTTCCATTTACTTCCCAGACCTTTTTTTTTTTTTTTTTTTTTAAGATTTTACTTATTTCTTTGACAGAGAGAGACACAACGAGAGAGGGAACACAAGCAGGGGGAGTGGGAGAGGGAGAAGCAGGCTTCCCGCGGAGCAGGGAGCCCAATGCGGGGCTCGATCCCAGGACCCTGGGATCATGACCTGAGCCGAAGGCAGACTCTTAATGACTGAGCCACCCAGGCGCCCCAGACCTTTTTTTCTTTTTTAAAGATTTTATTTATTTGACAGAGACACAGTGAGAGAGGGAACACAAGCAGGGGGAATGGGAGAGGGAGAAGCAGGCTTCCCGCCGAGCAGAGAGCCCAATGTGGAGCTGAATCCCAGGACCCTGGGACCGTGACCTGAGCCTAAGGCAGATGCTTAATGACTGAGCCACCCAGGCGCCCCCTTCCCAGACCTTTTTAATCTTACTTTGCCACCACTTTTTATGGGGACTTCTCTTGCCAATAGTACCAATGACCTCCCACCTCTTCAATGTAATAGATTCTTTTCAGTCCAAATCCCCTAGGAATGCTCTGCAGCACTTTCTGGAAACTCCCTCTGTTGTCTGGGGATCATGGATCTGTCTCTCTCTCTCATTGATTTGTTTGCATATCTGTGCTATCCTCCATTCATTTATAAGCCCCTGTGTGTCTTATTCATTTCTATCTCAAGCCCCAAGGATAGTAGCATAGTGCCTGGCACACAGTAGTTCTTAATAACTATGAATGTTAAATGATTAAAACTCTTGGTTTCCAGCTCATCTCTCTTTTTCTTTCTTTCTTTCTTGATCTCTTTCTCTGACTGTTCTCAGGCACCTTCACAGACTCCTCTTCTTCCATCTACCCATTAGCTATTCTTCAGAGTAACTCATTTTTATCCACCTTTGGGGTTTCAGCCATCAGAGAATACCCTAATTCCCTCATGTTTTTAATCTTAACCTTTCACCTGAGCTAAGGCTGCCCACTCTCCCGGGATATCTCACAGGCAGTTCAAATAACTCTTTCATTCCCAACCTGCCCTCCTCCTGCTTCCAAAACTCAGCCAGTGGAATTAACATGCACCTATATGTCCAAGTTACAAACCCCGAAGTCCCCTTAACTCTTCCCACTGCCTTTCCTGTCCTGGGGGGCTACCAGCTTTATCCACCACCAAACCCCCAAGCCCAACTCCTAAACTCTGCCTCTGGGTCTTCTATTTCTTCCACCTGGAACACCTCAGGCAAATCCTACACATTCTCTGAAATTCAGAACACAGGTTAACCTCACCTAATTGCTTCCTCTTCTAAATTCTAGACAAATTGCTTCTTTATTCTGAACAAACACAACTTGATGCTAGATTTAGTTTTTTGGGTTTTTTTGGGTTGTTTTTTTTTTAAAGATTTAATTTATTTTTTAGAGAGCGAGCGAGAGAGAAACAGCATGAGAGGGGAGAGGGTCAGAGGGAGAAGCAGGCTCCCCGCTGAGCGGGGAGCCCGATGCGGGACTCAATCCCGGGACCCTGGGATCATGACCTGAGCCGAAGGCAGACGCTTAACCATCTGAGCCACCCAGGCGCCCTAGATTTAGTTTTTAATGACTGATTTACGTATGTCTCTCACTAGATGGTAAACTTCTTGAGGGCAGGTTTTTGTCTTTGTTTTTTTGATCACTGGGTCTAGCCAGTGACTGACATTCTAAGGTGATTAAAAACTATTTTATAGGAATGAATGCATGAATAAATGAGTGAACTGGGAATGAGAATCTCTGCAATTACACGCTTTCAGAGATTAGTGGGAGGGAATCTTGAGTTAAAAGGACAATAACTCGGTTTGAAAAAACTAACTATGTAACCAAGTAGGCAACATATATTGTAACAACATATACATGCCTATGGAAGGAAGGTAATTGCCATGCATCTTAGGGAGGCTTTATTTTCCGGCTTTTCAGCTCTCCGTTATGGACAGCCGTATTTTAAAAGGGAAGGTATTATTTTAACCCCTCCTGTACTCTTATCCTGGGAGACAGGAGTTAAAGTATAAATAAGAGAAACCGCCTAGAGCAGTGCAGTGCCTGGGCACCTGGCAGGCCCTCAACACATTTTAATCCCTTTCCTTTTTCCTGCCTCGTCCTCCTTTTACCTTAGAAGCCTTGTGAATTTAGAGTATCTAAAGGACATTTTAGTTTTAGGATTTCGATTTGACGAAAATAACGTCGTGGAGCTTCTGCTTAACCCTATTAACCCATGACTCTCAAACCCAAGAGAAGAAGAAAAAAATCACTGGAGGGGGAGGGGGGAAAGGAGGCGGAGCAAAAACTGAAACAAGGCTGAGAGGAAGCTGTAGAAGGAAGCTCCTTTTTGGTTGGGTTTGTCTCTATTTAACCCCAGAGAGGCGTGACGCTCTAACTGCCGTCGTGGGTCAGTTTCCCGGCGAAGCGCCCGCCCGCGCCGAATTTCCTCGCCCGCCCTCCCGCTTCCGCCCCGCGGTGCGCTGCTGGCCGCCGCCGCTGGGGGCGCCTCGGGCCCCGTGGCGCTGAGGCAGCGGCGGCCGCGGCGGCCGCGGCGGCAGCGGCAGTCCTCCACGCTTCGCCTCTCCCGGCTCTCAGACGGGCGGCGGCGGCGGCGAACTGCACACCGAAAGGGCGCCCACAGCCCAGGCGAGCTGCAGCACGACCGCTCGTCGCGGGCGGGCGGGGTCCGCGCCGCCGCGCTCCGGCTCGGGCTGCCGCGAGAGGCGGCGGCGGCGGCCGCTGCCCCGGCTCCGGCCGGCCCGCGGCGCCCCCCGGCCGCGCCCCCGCGCGCAGCTCGCGGCCCCGGCCATGGGGCTGCGCGGGCCCGGGGCTCCGGCGAGCTGAGGCGGCGGCGCCGGCCCGCGCGCCCCTTGGGGCCGCCCCCGCACCCCGCTCGCCGGCGTCTGGCTCTCGTGATGATGAAGAAGAAGAAGTTTAAGTTTAAGGTGGACTTCGAGCTGGAGGAGCTCTCCTCGGTGCCCTTCGTCAATGGGGTCCTCTTCTGCAAGATGCGGCTGCTGGACGGCGGCAGCTTTTCCGCAGAGTCCCCCAGGTAACGCGCCCTCCGCGCCCCACGAGCCGCTGCGCCCGCGCCTGCCCCGCAGGGGTTTCTTCGATGGTCTGCTTGTCATTCCTCGGCCCATTTGCTCCAGGGGGAAGGCCGGCCTCGCGAGCTTCTCTTTCTCCAGGGACCAGTCTGAAATCAGTCAGGAGTTTATTGATCTGCACAAAGTGCTTCGCAAATGGGTCCATCTCAGCTGGGCTTGGCTCCTGCTTTCCTGATTCCAGATGGTTCCCGGTATCTGCGCTACCCTCCTAAATTCTCTGGGAATGGGAGCAATGGCCAGACGGGAGAGAATACTTCTGGTTTATCTTGAGACATTTCCATATTTGCGAAATGCAAAGTGGAACTTGAATTGTTGTTAAAACAAAAACAAAAATAACTCAAACTGCTTGAGTTCCAAGAGCCCTGGCTCTGAACAGAAACCTGTGTTTGGCGTAACTCCTGTTCTCTTGTTGCTTACTGGGGACTCCGAAGCCCAGGATGCGGCCAGGGTAGGCCCGATCTGGCTTGACTTGAGTCAAGTGTTCCCTGGCAGATGAGACAACAGTCTGTGCCTCATCAGAGAGCTGCGTCTGCAGTTACGCGCTAACACTCACTGAATTACCAGTCTTGAGGTGGCCACTGGTGGCTCTCAATGTGAAGGACTTAGAACCATAAGGAGAGCCCAGACATGCCCTCATTTTGAAATGAGCCCCTGGGCACTCTCAGGGAGAGTCATTGGCAGGTTACAGAATGAAGCCAAGGGTGCTAGTGTTCCTTGAGTCATGTAGGGTCTATTTGGTAGGTTGACAGATTTGCTGTAAGGTAAGTGTTCCTTAAGAAAATAGGAAATTTACAGAAACTTTTAAAATGAATTTTTAAGTTCCTGAGATCAAGGTAAGAGGTTAACAGTTAATGCTTATTTTGCCTAAATTTACTGCTCATAGACTTTATTTTTACCCTAAAAATATTCTGCTTTCTTTTTACCTGTCATCCCTATTAGTGTAAAGGAAATAAGGTCAATGGGTTGTGGAATTGGGGTCAGAAAATTGTCTGCGGTGGCAACGCTGAAGCCTATAGAAGCCAGAAAATGTAAATGGCTAGTTGGCCAAAGCAAAGGATGTATAAAGCATTATCGACTCTCAGAATTAAAGAAATTAGCCAAGGATTCTTTTTAAGATTAAACTGTGCTGCCAGATCTTTTGTGGCTATTCAGCTAATTAATTGCACTACCATCATTTTTAACACACTGGTGAGAGAACAGTGTGACTTAAAATGGTGCAGCAAATATTGTACCAGCTCTTCAAGTGTGGAAAAGCCAAAACCAATTCTTGAATGTCCTGTAGGTGCAAATGACTGTCTTACCCTGGGTCTTACCCTGTTTGCTGCAGGGTCCCACCCTGCCACTTCTGGCAGTTAGACCAGCTCTTCTGGGTCGCTGGTGACACCTGGTGGTCAGGGCACCTCTCTCTTAACCTCATTCTCCCTCAGATTATTGATTTGGCTTGCTACTCGCAAGTCAGTTATTCCAGTATTGCAGGCAGTCATTTATTCAGCAAATACATGTAGGTTGGGTCCTTTAAGTATATTATCTTATTTCATTCTCACAGCAAACCTGTGAGGTAGGGATTCCCGTTTTGTGGATGAATAAACTGAGACTCAGAAAGCTTAACTTTCCCAAGGCCTGCAGATGTGGTAAGTAAAATGTCAAGATCTTGATACAGGTCTGTCTAATTTCAAACAGACTGATGCCAGATGAAGGAGAAAATTATGTGCTGTGCTGAATGGGGAGCTTCCTAATGATTTTAACAAGCAGGGGGTATAATTTGATTTCTAATTTGCAAGAATTGGAAAGGAAAAAGCGGAGTATCCTGGGTTCAACTTACTGCTTTCTCTTCCGACAACAATGTGGCCTTACCTCTACTGTTTGGAGGGAAATGATTTATAATAAGGAGCCTGTGCCTTGTTAGGTAGAGGTGGTTGGTGTAAAGCTAAGAGCAAGGATTTAGAATGAGGCAGATCTGCATCTAAATCCCAACTGCACCATGATAAACCTGGGTGGGTTATTCAGCCTCTCAAAGTTTCCATCTATAAAATAGAAACCATCATTGGCATATAGGGTTGTTATGAGGATTTAGTAAGGTGATGTACCAAAAACAGCTATCACAGTGCTCTAGCACCCAATCAACATTCTTCTTTTAAGATTTATTTGTCAGAGAGAGAGCGCACACGCACAAGCAGGGAGAGCAGGAGGCTCCTCAGGAACCTGATGCAGGACTCGATCCCAGAACCCTGGGATCATGACCTGAGCTGAAAGCAGACGCTTAACCGACTGAGCCAGCCAGGCATCCACACCCAATCAACATTTAAAGAGAAGACAAGGCGCTTGTCCAAGAGGGTTTGCTTCCTTTAAGATGTTGATACTTAATTCCTTTGACAATTACAAAAGTGTTGGTTTGAAAAAAGCTACCTCATTTTACAAAAAAAAAAGAAAACTTGAAACACCTAAAGGATAGGAATTATTTTTAAATTGCATAACTTTTAATTCTTGGATGCCAGTCTAGGCATTGCATCTCTGATTAAATGCTAGATTTTCGGGGTACCTGGTGGCTCAGTCGTTAAGTGCCTGCCTTTGGCTCAGGTCATGATCCCAGGGTCCTGGGATCGAGCCCCACATTGGGCTCCCTGCTCAGCAGAAAGCCTGCTTCTCCCTCTCCCACCCCCCCTGCTTGTGTTCCCTCTGTCGCTGTCTCTCTCTGTCAAATAAATAAATAAAATCTTTAAAAAAAAAATAAAAATAAATAAATGCCAGATTTTAATTTTTTAAAAAATAAGGGGTGCCCGGGTGGCTCAGTCAGTTGTGTCCCACTCTTGACTTCAGCTCATGTCATGATCTTGGTCCTGAGATCAAGCTCCGATCTGGCTCCATGCTCCGTGTGGAGTCTCCTTGTCCCCCCACTCTGCTCCTCCCCTTCTAAAATAAATACATTAATTAAATCTTAAATCTTTAAAATAAAAAACTGTTGCCAGCCAAACAAAAAACAAAACCACAGTAGCTTTCCAGTGGAGCGTGCTGGGAGGATTAATTTGCATTAACAAGGAAGTGAGGATGAGAGGACAGCTTGAACAGGTCACCAGTAGGAGCTGGTGATAGCTCAGCCTGACTGCAGAGAGAGTTCACATTGAACAGAAGCAGAAGATAAAGACTTTGAATACCATTATAGTTTGCTTTCCACTGCTCATAGGATAAAAGGCAATTTGAGATTCTTGCACTAAGTTCTATTGTGATTAAAGTGGTATTTAAACTGGCTAGTTGGCTGATGTTTGTCATAGACGAGAAATGGGGAGACAAATTAGGAGTCTGTTAAAATAACCCAGGCAGGAGCTAGTAAGTACCTGAACTTGTAGGTTTTTCATATAAGTGGCTGATAACATGATAATGCTATGACAAAGGCCTTGATGACATGACAGAGTAAGAAAGTCAAGAAGAATCTTTGTTTTGTTCTGTTTTGTTGAGGTGTATCACGGTATGTGTGAGGTGTATTTGTTTGTTTGTTTTTTAAAGATTTTATTTATTTATTTGAGAGAGAGAATGAGATAGAGAGCATGAGGCGGGGAGGGTCAGAAGGAGAAGCAGACTCCCTGTTGAGCAGGGAGCCCGATGCGGGACTCGATCCCGGGACTCCAGGATCATGACCTGAGCCGAAGGCAGTCGCTTAACCGACTGAGCCACCCAGGCGCCCCTGTATTTGTTGATAGTATATTGTGGGGGAGGATACAAGGAGGTAGGTTATATGTTAGACACACTACATTGAGATGACAATGAGTGATATGCACTTGGAGACATATTTATTGTGAGTTTCTTAGATTCTGGTCTATTGTAAGTAAGCCTGCTTACTGAACTTTTCATCTAGAATTTCCTTGCCCTTTTAAAGATTAGTAGTGAAAATTAATTTTAGAAGGATCGAGTTTCTGCTGGAAAAGTGTGTTTAGTGAAGAGGTTAGAAAAAATATAAAGACTAGAAGGTGTTTATTTGTAATAAATGTTATTAAAATTGTCAGGTTTTACATACCATAGTTAATAAAACATACAGAAAATACATGTATGATTATAGTAGTCTAATAAACTGAAATCAAATTATTGCCTAATAAAATATTTTTGAACCTTTCAAAAAGACAGAAAATTACACTAAGTCTTTTTAAGTGCATGCTTCCTTTGTAAAAACATTTAAATCTCTTGAGGTTTGTTAAGACTGTCAGAACAAGTTTCATTTCTGGTCTGCTTTAATAAAGGAATAAGAAGAAAAGTTTCCTGTATTTTTAGGGTTTCCAAGTTTGCCTTATTTTGTTCATGTTTTTGTGTACTCATAGCTAAATACTTTCCCATGTTTCACATGAGCTGTGGCAAAAAACCATGTGAATTCAGGGAGTGTCTGGGAAGCTAATGAGCACATCTGTGTATTGGATCTTTTACTTTGTAAACAAGCTGAAAGGATTTCTTCCCTTTGGCCAGAATATGTATTCATGTTTTCAAGATTTTAGTTCACTGCACATTGTGTTTCATTTTTTTTGCATGTCCAGTTTCTGAACACCATTTGTTGAAGAGTGTCCTTTTCCCATTATATATTCTTGCCTACTTTGTCCTAAATTAATTGAACATATGTGCATGGGTTTATTTCTGGGCTCTCTGTTCTGTTTCACTGGTCTATGAATCTGGTTTTATGTCAGTGTCATAGTGTTTTGATTACCACAGCTTTGTAGTATAGTTTGAAATCAGGTAGTGTGATACTTTTGGCTTTGTTCTTCCTTCTCAGTGTTATTGTTTTGGCTATTCAGGGTCTTTTGTGGTTCCATACACATTTTAGAATTATTTGTTTTAGTTCTGTGACAAAGTTCACTGGAATTTTAATAGGGATTGCATTGAATATATAGATTGCTTTGAGAAGTAGAGATATTTAAACAATATTAATTCTTCTAGTCCATGAGCCCAGAATATGTTTCCATTTATT